TGCAGTGAAGAAGTAGAAGGTGGAGGATTGCTTAATGCCTCCCCTCCCCACCACTTTTTCCTTTCATGCTATAGCTGTAGGTTGCAGAGGAAAACTGGCTGGGAGAAGAGGGTTTAAGCAGTTCCTTGCATGCCACTTCTCTCCTACAGAGTATACATATAAGCATGTGGTTGGGTTCCCCCCCCCCCCAGGAGAGAAGTAGCAACCTTTCCTTACCTTGGCGTTTACAGTGCTGTCCTAAACAGGGCTACACATGACATTAAGTCTATTAAAGTCAAGGTAACCCTGACTGTTCCCTGGAAGGCCAGATAATGAAACTGAAGCTCAAATACTTTGGCCACCAAATGAGCCGGGAGCACTCACTGGAGAAGACCCCGATGCTGGGAAAGATTGAAGGTCAAAGAAGACGGGGATGGCAAAGGATGAGATGGTTGGACAGTGTCATGGATGCAACGAACATGAAATTGAGCGGGCTTCGGAGGACGGCGGAACACAGGAGGGCCTGGCGTGATCTTGTCCATGGGGTCGCGAAGAGTCGGACTCGACTGTGCGACTGAACAACAACAAAAAACTCTGCTTAGGATTGATTGCACTGTTAGTGTTTAGAATTAAAGGAATTGGTTTTAATTTGGCCTTCTAGAAAAGCCTTCATTGCTATTGATAATAAATTATTTCTAGATTTTTATTCAGTATAAATAAGCTACCTGAAGTATCCAAGTGCGTTGCTCCGCTTTGCAAGGACTCAGGAGTATTGAGAGTGTAGACTGATCCTTCAGAAATGAGGCTGAAATTAGTTTGTTAAGCGGGAGATGTTTAGCCTTGGAAAAAACATGGGATGGGTGAAAAAGAAAAAATGCTGAAATTCAAAGGCTTATAATTTGGGGTGGGGGCAGTATTCTCAGAGGAACACCCCTAACTGAAACATTTTGTGCTTACAGGAGTTCCAGTAAGCATTATAAAGAAATCTCTTGGTGAAGAACTTTTCAAAATATGTTATGAAGAAGATGAACACATTCTAGGAGTTGTTGGGGGGACCCTCAAAGACTTTCTGAACAGCTTCAGTACTCTTCTAAAGCAGAGTGGCCACTGCCAAGAAGCCGAGAGAAAAGGGAGCCTGGAGGAGGTCTCCATACTGTGCTTGGAAAAAGACCCAGATTTCTTAAATGTCTACTATTTCTTCCCTAAGAAAACAACTAGCCTCATCCTCCCTGGCATTATTAAAGCAGCAGCTCATATTTTGTATGAAACAGAAGTGGAAGTGATGCTGATGCCCCCCTGCTTCTGCAAAGATAGCACTGAGTTCATTAATCAACCCTATTTGTTGTATTCAGTCCAAGTCACGAGTGCAAAACCATCCTTATCACCTTGTAAACCTCAGTCATCTCTTGTGATTCCTGCTTCTATGTTCTGCAAGACTTTCCCATTTCACTGCATGTTTGACAAGGACATGGCCATTCTACAAGTCGGCAATGGTATAAGAAGACTGTTAAACAGGAGGGAATTTCAAACAAAGCCAAACTTTGAGGAGTACTTTGAAATCCTGACCCCCAAAATAAACTGCACATTTAGTGGGATCATGACAATGCTGAACATGCAGTTTACTATAAGAGTGAGAAGAGGGGGCAACATTCTTAAAAAGTCGACTGGAGTAAGAACTAGTTCATTGCCTTTATGTTCTCTCTTCCTCCACCTCTAAGTGGGGTACACATATATGGGAGCCACTTTGGACATCTGTAGATGCTCCAACAAGTGGAGACAACAGTGCCTCTTGCTCCCTTCTGTTTTGTGTGTGTGTGTGTGTGTGTGTGTGTGTGTGTGTGTTGCTTTAATACTTGAATAGGAGGCAGGAGAGAAGTACAAGTTGTATGTACAATTGAAACTTGTTATGTCTTCCTCTGTAAGGTCCTGTTCAGATATTACAGTAGAACTGCAAGAGGAAGAAGTATGACATGCTCATGCATTCATTTTTTATCCTTCAAATAATGTCTGGAGACCTGACCCAGTAAAGCTCATATTAATACTGTTTTTGGACTACATAACCTTGGACAGCAATCTTTGCACATTGAGAAACAGCCTCTTAGGGAAATGTATAGGCTACAACTTTTCTTTCATTATGAATGTAAGGAGGGTGTTTTTTTTAACCTCACAAATGAACATTTAACCATGCACATACAGATAGCTGAAGTGAAAATAGTTCAGAGTCCTATAATATTATTTTTACTCTACCTTCCAGTACAGTACAAATCTGTCAGATCTTCTGTTCTAAAGATATTATTTTCTTTTGCAGTTCGGTCTGTATTGAATTATCACAATACTGCTTGCAGTTAAGTGATGAACGTAGATAAAAGGATTTGGCTATATTATTGCTTCTACTTCAGCTATTGCTAATCTGAGGGCCCCTTCTATATTAGGTATTCTGAACTCACTCTATTCCAAATTCATGCTGATAACACACCCACATTTTCAATAGAGATACAAGCAATAGCTGGAAAAGGTTATCTGATATACATTGGAGTGTGGGATTGTGCTTGTGAGGGCTGCCTGGCTGAATAATGGTTAAAGGAAGTGTCTACAAACTACATGTTATGAATGAAAAAACATACTTCATGGTTTACCTTTCAACCAGAATGCAGGGACAAAGGAAATATGCAGCAGAGAATTGTTGGGTATGCTTAACCTTTCCCATGCCTATTCATTCTTCCTTGCAAATGCCCTTATCCACTGGTCATGTTTATTTTTAACTGCCTTTCTCAAGAAAGGCATAGATACACTGTGTTGTTGTAGTCATATTTTCCCCTTGGTTCATTGGTTCTTCATGTTCCTGTTACACATTTTCCCCTCAGATTCATGCTTTCCAGCCTCAAGGACTGCCCCTTGAGAAAAGGAAAAGATACACCTGTCCTTTCTGTCACAGAAGTTAGCTACAAACATTCTGACACCTTAAATGCCTGATCAAATGGAATGTCTTCTGCTCACCCCTCCCCATGCCACTTTGATATGCAACACTTATTGGATGGGTGTTCCTACCATTTTACATTTTCTAATGGGGGAAGGGAACTTTCCAGGCATTTCAGACTAGTGGTCAGTCCAGCTGTTCAGGGTCAAGGGGAATGTTATAGCCATTGGAACTCCTGTTGCCAGTCTGGCTGAAGAAAGCTTGTTCCAAGTGAAAAACAATTTGTCTTTGTATACCTTCTTTTTTCAAAAATCTAACATCTCATCTTCTTCATTGTTTCAGGTTATGGACCTTAAAGGACAAATGATCTACCTATTTGAGACCTGTGCTATCTTGTTCTTGGGATCCCCCTGTGTTGACAGACTAGAAGATTTTACAGGACGTGGCTTATATCTTTCAGATATTCCAATTCATAATGCTTTAAGGGATGTTGTTTTAATAGGAGAGCAGGCCAGAGCTCAAGATGGACTCAAGAAAAGGTTGGGGAAGCTCAAAGCTACCCTTGAACAGGCACACCAAGCCCTTGAAGAAGAGAAAAAGAAGACAGTAGATCTTTTGTGTTCCATTTTTCCTGAGGAGGTTGCACAACAGCTGTGGCAGGGACAAGTTGTGCAAGCCAAGAAATTTAATAATGTCACAATGCTTTTCTCTGACATCGTAGGGTTCACTGCAATCTGTTCCCAGTGCTCACCTATGCAGGTTATCACCATGCTTAATGAGCTCTACACTCGCTTTGATTACCAATGTGGAGAACTGGATGTCTACAAGGTAAAGAATCTATTTCGCTGGTAAATGGGTCTTCTGGAAAGGATGAGCAAGTCTGTAGGGGGAATGAATGGGACCTGCAAAGCTATTTTGACACAGCCTATATGGGGACTGAGTGTTTTAACAAATGAATGAAACACAAGTTGTCTGCAAAGTGAGTTGCATATGCAATCGTGAAAATTTGATATAACCTAGAAGATGATGATGTAACTCTGAAATAAGCAATTCAGTAATGTATATATCTAGGGCCGTAGTCCTTCGCATATATAAAATGAAGCCGGTCTATTGACTTCTGCGATACTATGTGTGAGTAAGTGGCTTGGGAATTGCTACTAGAAAATCACAGACAGTGAATGAAAAGTAAACGTTTTGATTTAATACTACTTCCATCATCCTGGCCAACTCAAAATAGCTTCAGCAGGTGGCAAATGTCAATACACAAATAGTGTGCTAGAACTCCAGTTCACATTTACCTTGAGTAACAGTCAGAAGTTGAAGTGGGTGAGTGTTCATTGGGGATGGGGAGTAATGAAAACACTTTAAATCATGCCCTATTTTCATCATATGTTCTCCTGTTTTATAAAATGAATTTTCATGTACAGGTAGAAACCATTGGGGATGCTTATTGTGTTGCGGGAGGCTTGCACAAAGAAAGTGACACCCATGCTGTTCAGATAGCATTAATGGCACTGAAGATGATGGAGCTGTCAGATGAAGTGATGTCTCCACATGGAGAACCCATCAAGGTAAGGAGGATAACAGTATTTGCAATAGGGATGTGCATTCGGTTCGTCTGAACTGAATGCACCCCCGAAAATGGCCCTTTTGGGCTGCTGCGGGCCGATTCAGATTCTCTGATCTAAATCGGCTTGCTGCTGAATTGCTGCCGAATTTCAGTGGCAATTTGGCTCCATTATATCCTATGGGCCATTGAAGTCAATGGCGAAAACATATGGTATATATTCTGGGGGCTGAAGGGGAGGGGGTTCGAGGGAGAAGCTCCAAACTTGCAGGGTAGCTGCTGGAGCCTCTCCCCAAGATACCCACAAAGTTCCAAGAACATTGAACCAGGGGGTCCAAATCTACAGGCCCCCAAACGTTTTTCCTACCATAGAGAAAAATGGAGGTGATGGGGGCAATCTGTTTGGGGGCCCGTAGAATTGGACCCTCTGGTTCATTGTTCTTGAAACTTCGTGGGTATCTTGGGGAGAGGCTTCAGCAGCTACCCTGTGAGTTTGGAGCCTCTCCCTCAAACCCCCTCCCCTCCAGTCCCCAGAATATATACCATATGTTTTCGCCATTGACTTCAATGGCCCATAGGATATAATGGAGCCGAAATTGACATTCGGCTGGCCAAAAGACCCCCGGAATGGATGCCTACTGCTGAAATTGACATGCAGGAGTATTTCTGCCGGCCAAAATTGATTCTGCCCGATTCAGGCGAATCCGAATCGGGCTGATTTTATTTATTTTTTGCACACCCCTAGTCCGCAATAGTGATCTGAGGGGAAAAATGTCCTTAGTTTTGTTGTTTAGCAAAATGCATATGCCTTTTATTTCATTATTTCATTTACTTCATGTGAAACTGAAAATGAGCTTTTGCAAGAGTATTTTTTAAAATGAATATATAAAAATGAATGTATAGCAAGCCAATCCTGCATTCAACTGTTATTTTGGTAGGTGTTGTACTGCTTCAGTTGCTTCCAAGCCTGTAGCTTGACTGGTTTACACTGTACTTCTGCCATTTCATTCATCGATGCAATTTGTACAGTTGTCTTTCTACAGTGACCACAAGAGTGTTCCCAAGGGAAAGGGTACTTGTGGGACACTTCTGTCCTTTCCATAAATTATGTACAGTTGAGGTTGTGTGAAACTGTCATCTAAATAGGCATAAAACTTGCTGCAAAAGAATAAAATTAAATGGGCAATTAAACAAAAACTACATTAGAAAACACTGGATATCCCAAATCAGAAACTATGTCGGTGCTGAGAAAAGCATTATGTTGACACTTCAGTTAGATATGCTAGACTGAGCATTCAAGGCTGAAGCATGAGATATCTGAGATTTGCTGGGTTTTATTTTTTATTTGTTTTACTATTTCTACAGTAAGGTAGTTGCCAAAGACAAGTGCAAAATTCCTACACTCTTATTGTATTAATTGTAGGGAATCTTCTGATATTGACTGGGCTGGTGTGATGACTCTAAAAGTTCAGTTGCTCAAGGATCAAAACAGTTTGTTGTCTATCTTTTCTGAGGGAATGAAAAGTGTTGTGATTTGCTGGGATTAAAACTTTACACAGGGCCTGTCTGATGACTGGGAAGACTTCTTGGGATGTAGGAAAGCTAAGGGATGGAGAATCCACAAGGAGGCTAAGAGTGCAATCCTAAGAAGGGTTACACCTTTCTAAGCCCATTGACATCACTGGACGTAGAAAAGTGTAACTGCTTAGCATTTTACTATAAAGGAAGGGTGCAGAGTAGAGAATGAACTGAGAAAGAGAATAAGAACAAAAGAAAATAAGAGTCCTGCTGGATCAGACCAGTAGTCCATCTATTCCAGGATCCTCTATCATACTGTGGCCAGCTGGTTTACTCTGGAGGACCAACAGTGGGACACAGAGGCCGAGGCCTTCTCCTGATGTTGCCTTCTGGCACTAGTAGTCATAGGTTTGCTGCCACTGAAGATGGAGGTTTCTTTTAGTCATCATGGCTACTATCCTCCATGAATCTATCTGATCCCCTTTCAAAGCTGCCTATACTTGTGGACATCGCTACATCCTCTGGCAGCAAATTCCATATTTTAATAACTGGTTTGAGTAAAGAAATGTTTCCTTTTATTTGTTCTGAATCTTCTGGTCCTTTCTGCACTAACAGCTCACTGTAGCTTACTCTGGAAAATTTGAGCAGTCGAACCTTTAAGGTTAACGTCATATTCTGTGTCTGCCCTCTGCACTATTCTTTTTTCTCCAGTTTATTTTTGTGTATGCATTCTGCATCTACAACCAAAACCTGCATTTTTTGCTTAATTGTGTTTAATGGCACTTGTGACCTGTGGCCGGGTGCATCCAGTTGCCACCAACTTGGCCAAGTTCATAAGCAAGGGATTGGGCACACTGCACCCTCCCCTTTCTCTCCCTCCCCTCCCTTTTAGCTAGCTGCCGCTGGGCTATGACCCATAGAGGGACTCCAGCTCTGCAGCTGGCTGGCTGGTCTTTTGGGAGGGGTGGTGTCCCAAGGGTTTTAGTTTAAAAACAAAAACAAAAACAAATGGGCCTGCAAGCCTCTCTCATTGTTTCCAGTGGGCAATCCTGTCATTCCTGTTAATACATCCCCCTCCAAGTTATGTGCAGATAGGCTTTGGAGAAGGGAAAAAGATCCCTCCTTAGAGTCCAATGTGCAAAGGATAGAGGAGTGTGTCAACCCCCCCCCTGCAAGCTAGAAGCTTCAAACCTGCAGAGGACCTCCCCAGGCTGCCCCTCTACCTGCTCTCCAAGTTGTTTGCAGATTGGCTTTGAGGAAGGGGGGAAAGATCCCTCCATAGGGTCCAATGTGCAAAGGATGGAGGTGTCAGTGCCAGAAGCATCAAAATAGAAGCGGAAATAGGGATGGGGGAATGGGCAGCGATTACTAAAGCCGCGTCAAGTAGTCTGCTTATTATACCCTCCAAATTGGAAGCTGAAGAGCAAAAAGGGCTGGGAAGAACCCACTTTCAGATACCCAGGGGCAAAGTCGTGATGACTGTGAAGTCACCTCCAAATGGCCATAAAACAATGCAGAATCTGGAAAGAGCTGCAATGCAGGAGGAAAGTGAGAGCGGGATGCAATGCAGAGGGACAACATGGCTGTGGACAAACTGCAGGGGAACAGATGAGTGCAGAGAGGCTTTACCATCCATCAGCTTCATCGGATGCCCTTGAGTTCTAGTATTTTGGGAGAGGGAGAAAGTTAACTTCTGTCCACTTTTTCTACTCTGTACATAATTTTATAAACTTCTATTGTGTCCCTCCAGTTGTCCTTTTTCCAAACTGAACAGTCCTAGACTCTCCAGCCTTTCCTTGTAGAAAAGATGCTCCAACCCTTCAATTATCTTGCTTGACCTCTTCTGTCCTTTCTCCAGCTCTTCAGCGTCCTTTTTGAGATACAGTGACCAGAACTGTACACAGTATTTCAAATGAGGCTACGTTATAATATAGTTCATTTTATTTTCCGCTGCTTTCCTAATAATCCCCAGCACAGAATTTACCCTTTTCACTTCTGCAGCAGTGTCACTTTCATTGAGCTATCTATAGGGTTGCCAGGAGCTCCTTGCACTGAACACACATTGATGGGGTCCAAACTGGCGGAGACTGACCAATCATAGTAGATAACTCACTGAACATGTTGAGACAGGGTACAACTGCAATAAAAAAGGCCAACACTATGCTGTGGATTATTAGGAAGGGAACTGAAAACAAATCAGCCAGTATCATAATGCCCCTGTATAAATCGATGGTGCGACTTCATTTGGAATACTGTGTACAGTTCTGGTCACCACACCTCAGAAAGGATATTATAGCGTTGGAAAAAGTGCAGAAAAGGGCAACTAGAATGATAAAAGGGTTGGAACACTTTCCCTATGAAGAAAGGTTAAAGCGCTTGGGGCTCTTTAGCTTGGAGAAATGACGACTGAAGGGTACCATGATAGAGGTTTACAAGATTATACATGGGATAGAGCAGGTCGAGAAAGAAGTATTTTTCTCCCTTTCTCACAATAGAAAAACTCGTGGGCACTCAATGAAATTGCTGAGCAGCCGGGTTAGAACAGATAAAAGGAAGTACTTCTTCACCCAAAGAGTGATTAACACATGGAATTCACTGCTGCAGGAGGTGGTGGCAGCTATTAGCATGGATGGCTTCAAGAGGGAATTGGATAAATATATGGAGCAGAGGTCCATCAGTGACTATTAGCCACAAGGTATAGGTAGGAACTCTTGGTCTGGAACAAGTGATGCTCTGTATTCTTGGTGCTTTGGGGGAGGGCAACAGTGGGAGGGCTTCTAGTGTCCTGGCCCCTATGGTGGACCTCCTGATGGCACCTGGTATTTTTGGCCACTGTGTGACAGTGTTAAACTGGATGGGCCATTGGCCTGATCCAACATTGGCTTCTGTTATGTTCTTATGTCTGTTGGACCTGCAAGCAGGGGGACAGAGGGAGTGTTCTGGAAGCAGAAAGTGACGTACCTGTGTGAGCAGGGCCTGGACCAAACGTAACAGGGCCAGGACTTTATGCTGTCTTCCCTGGGCCAGGCACAATTCTGAAGGCCTCAGAGTTTCCCTAGGGCACTAAAAGCCTGTGGATTAGCCCTGTATATTGGTCTGTATCTCAATGAAATAAGTTGGAAATTTCCTGAGTTTCTCCAGAGCAACTATTTTCTGATTCCAGCTTTGAACATAATTTTAGCTATACAATATGCCTTTGTTTATGCAAACATCACAGGAGATAATCTCATAAGATATGAATTGTGTATGTAACCACAGAGGTGTCTGTTGTGGGTATGATACAGATAATTCGTATTTTTGAGAGGAAACAGGCAGCATGTTGCTAAGTATTTTGCTGGATATAGGAGAGTAAACAAACTACATTGCATTTATTATTTCAATATAGTTATGAAATGGAATACAAAACAGATTTGCAATTTGTAGTTAGTACTTGACTTTTTGGGAAAGCAAATGATTGAATTTCTGAATGTATTATAACTTGAGAGAGGAGAATTTTGTCCAAAATATCAAATATGTCTTTTTTCCTCTCTAAGTTGTCCTTTTATTGTCACTTTTGAGTATCTGATAGAAAATTTGCAATAAATATGTCTTGATTGTATTTCTTTTTTCTCTTTGAAACAAGAAAGGATGCTTTGATCCTTGTTTTTATTTTAACCTAGAATGCTGAATTAATGCCAGATTTCAGTCATCTGTTGATCCTACTGTGTAGGTGGTGGTTGTTTTAGATATCATGAAGATCTGCTGAAAAGTGTTTAGTGCATAAATTTAACACTTTTGAAAGCTGGGTTTACAAAAAGGGGTCATCTGTTGTGTGTCCTTATAACACATTTGGAAAATGGTGTACTGTACTTGCGAGCCACCTCTTTCAAAAGCACCTCATCCCAAAGAAGGAGATAAAATTATAACTGTTAAGTTAAAGAAATATATTTTCTGTTCTTTCCATTGCAGTATTTATTGCAAGTGAAACTGTTATATTTTTATGTCTGTCCTTGCCTACTTTTTGGCTGTTAATTGTTGTAGTCTATAGGATAGTTTCTTCAGCTGAACTATTCTAGAATCATGGAGGTGTGAACTGGATAAATAGCAGTGTGATCCTAAGAACACTTCCTTGGGAGTAAGCCCCATTTAATAGACTTGAGTAGAATTCTGCGGAGACCTACTTGGGTTGGCAATGTAAATGCATGACTTTTAAAAAATAAATAAATTGTTCAAGAGTAGGACAACCAAGCCAAGGCCTTCTGTATATTCTAAGCAACATCCCAGTTATCTGAGCATATCAGAGAAGGGGGAAATGCAGATTAAAACTAAGAACACAGGAACAACAGACACAGCAAGACACAGCTGACAATTTTCTAAATTAAAAAATAAGGCAAAATTTAAATGAAATTCAGATAGAAAATGAGCAAGCTGTAGGCACATGCAATGCGGTTTTATTCCTCACAGAGGTGTAGTATAGACAAAGGCTCATTTTGCTACCTTGAGGCTGCGGTCACACAGACTAAATAATCCACTTTCAGTGCACTTTCCAACTGGATTTTTACTGTGTGAAGTGGCAAAATCTGGTTGGAAAATGCATTGAGAGTGGATTGAAAGTGGATTGTTTATTGTGTGTGACTGCAGCCTCAGTCTCAGCATCCCTCCCCCATATTGCCACAGCATCCATACGTGCAGGGGTCGTTTAGTAGAAAAAGAGCTAGGGGAACACATTAGCATAACTCATTAGCATATGCCACACCCCCTGACATCACCGGAAGTGTGTCATAAGGCCACACCCACCACTCAGTTAGTCTTAGTCTTAAGGTTAGTCTTAAAGGTGCTATTTGTTAGTCTTAAAAGTGCGGGAGTGTGAGGAAGCCCCGCGAAGGCCCCCCGCCCCCAACGGTCCCGGCCGCCGCCGGCCTTGCAGCTCCACTGCCAAGCCCCAGAGAGGCGGGGAGGAAGCAACTTACCCTCCCTCTTCTCCTGCCTCCTCCTGTCTGAATGAGGGCCAGAAGCGGGGTGGCCGGAAGCAGGGGGCGGGGCTTCGTCGTGTGCCCCGCCCCCCACATTTCACCCGGGGGAACGGCGATCCCCCACGATTCCCCTGAATCGACCTCTGCATACGTGAACTGCTTTGTAGCACTTGTATCACATGGAAGCTGCCTCCATCTACTCACAATAACACAATGAGTTGCAAATTAAGGATTCTGGTACTGTGCACCTCTCCTAACTGTAAAAATCAACCTTTTCCTCCTATTACTAACATGTGGATTCTACTTTTGAGAGCAGTTTGCAAACCACTGCTAATATGCCAGTTCCATTCGTTAAAGAGTTCTATGCATGCCTGGTTTAAATGTACCCAAGATATGGTCTGAAGTCGCATAATTCAGCAGATTTGTTTCAGGTCTGGGTCTAAGTATAATCAGTGTTTGGATGGGAGATGTTCTGTGAACTCCCATTTATTTATTCATTTGGTACATGTTACCCCACCATTCCTCCAAGGATCTCACAGTGGTGTATATAGTTTATTTATTTATTTATTCAATTTATACCCCACCCTCCCTGATGGAGCAGGCTCAGGGCAGCTTACAAAAGATAATATAAGAACAGTTATGACATAGGTAAAACCGTCTAAAAACAATTCCAAACACAAAGTGCTAGCTGGTTGTAAACTAATACATTAGGGATGGTGGCACTTTATTCATCAGTTCTCAATCTTTATCATGTATATACGACTGGCACAGGTTGTAATGGTGGAGTCAGGCGCCTCTTTAATGATGATATTGTTGCTGGTGATGGTGGCAGCTCCTTAGCCGAAGGCCTGGTGGAAGAGCTCTGTCTTGCAGGCCCCGTGGAACTGTAAAAGGTCCCACAGGGCTCTGATCTCTTCTGGGACCTCATTCCACCAGTATGGAGCCACCATCGAGAACTCCCTGGCCCTGATTGTTGCCAGTCTGACGTCTTTTTGGCCTGGGAGGGTCAGTCAATTTTGTGACCCTGAATGCAGTGCTCACTAGGGTACATATGGGGAAAGGTGGTCTCTCAGGTATGTCAGTGGTCCCTCAAGTATGTCGGCTCCTGACTATATAGGGCTTTAAAGGTAAGAACCAGCACCTTGAAGCAAACTCAGAATGTGCGTGATAGCCAAGGCCATGGCAAGGGAAGCCGTGCAGTGGACAGTCTTGGTGGTGGCAGTCTGCATCCTAGCGGCGGAAGCCGCAAGTTGACAGCCTACAATGCAGGTGTTTACCTGCTATCCTCTGGAGAATGGCAAGGAGAACACCTTGCAGTGCTATGCTGATGGATTCCATCCTCCCAAAATCAGCATCGAGCTTCTGAAGAATGACAAGCCAATGGAGAGCCAGAAGAGCGACCTTTCTTTTCACCAGGACTGGGCCTTCCATCAGCTTGTCTATGCCAATGTCACTATCGATGGGAAGACCGAGTGGAAGCCGCAAGTCGACAGCCTACAGTGCAGGTGTTTACCTGCTATCCTCCGGAGAATGGCAAGGAGAACACCTTGCAGTGCTACACTGATGAATTCCATCCTCCCAAAATCAGCATCGAGCTTCTGAAGAATGACAAGCCAATGGAGAGCCAGAAGAGCGACCTTTCTTTTCACCAGGACTGGGCCTTCCATCAGCTTGTCTACGCCAATGTCACTATCGATGGGAAGACCGAGTATGCCTGCAAGGTGGAGCATGAAATCTTGCATATACCCCAAACCCACAAACCCGAGTGGGAGTTCTGAGCAGCTGTCCTCAGGAAAAGAAGGTTGGAAGACTTTTGCCATTTGAAATGTGTTCCAGCCATGCAATCCTGAACCATTTTTCCTGTGCCATCCCTTCTTTGAAATGATTGCTTTGGGAAAAAAAAATATTGCAGCCTATTTTGCAATTTGAATTTTAACAGTAATTCTGCCTTGTGTTGTTTTTGTTTAACTTCATTTATTAAAATCTTCTGGATGTTTGGATTTTACTAGTGGAAATATGCTGAAAAGGTGTATGTTTGAATACAACCACTTTCTTATCTGGCAAGGGTACTGCTGTTGTGATCCACCCTGAGTCACTTGGGGGAGGGCGGAATATAAGCTGAAATAAATAAATAAATAATGCTATCAGCAGCCAGTGTAATGCTTTTAGCATGGGCTGGATGTGCTCCCGCATAGGGAGACCCACCAGGAGCCTGGCCGCTGCATTTTGCACTAGCTGCAGCTTCCGGATGTGTGACAAGGGCAGCCCCATGTAGAGAGTGTTACAGTAGTGCAGTCTCGAGGTGACCATTGCATGGATCACTGTTACCAAGTCGTTGCAGTCGAGGAAGGGAACCAACTGCCTAATCAGCCAGAGATGGTAAAAGGTTGACTTGGCAGTGGCTGCTACCTGGGCCTCCATTGTTAAAGAGGCATCCAAACTCCTACCCTCCAGCACTGGCACCAACAGAGCCCCATCAAAGGTCGGGGCTGGGATCCCTACCCCTGGTCCACCCCAGCTCAGGCTCTTTGTCGGATTCAGTTTCAGCTGGCTCAGTCTAAACCAACCAGCCATGGCTTGTAGTGCCCGGTCCAGATCTTCCAGTATTAGAGCTCTCTCTACCTTCAGTGTATCCTCACAAACTTATGCAGAGAGAGAGAATGAATGGCCCAAAGTCATCCAGTGAGTTTCATGGTGAGTGGGAATCTGAACCTGGGTCCCTCTACTTGTTCATGATCACAATTCATAATGATTAAAGAGAAACTAATAAAACTGTCTTTGAAACTTTTTTTTAAAAAAATCTAGCAATACAACAATTTTTAATATATTTTGCTTTATTTCTAAAAGATGCGGATAGGCCTGCATTCTGGATCTGTCTTTGCTGGTGTTGTTGGTGTTAAAATGCCACGATATTGTCTATTTGGAAACAACGTAACACTTGCCAACAAATTTGAGTCTTGCAGTGTTGCGAGGAAAATAAATGTCAGCCCAACTACCTACAGGTACAGTAATTTACAATGTACAACACTTATATCATGCTACTGATGGTTTGTTTAACATTTTTACATTTATGTGCATTCATTTTCTTCCACAAAGTGCTCAGTCCTTAGGATATCAGAGGCTAAAAATTCTAATCCTAAATTCATTACAGAGAAGTAGTGAAGGAAGAACCCCTCTTCTTTTAATTCAGAATGAAAGCTGAATAAAGTTATTCATCCCCCCAATCCACACACACTGGTCTAATCATGTTTGGTTTGGTTTGGTTTGCATTGCAGTCTTGAAGACAACCCTTTCCAAACCCTCTGAACCTTGCACTGTTCCCTTTTCTTTGCCTAAAGCTTACCAGATCGTAGCAACATGAGACACCCCGCAAAATGTAGAGCTGGGAGCCAGTGTAGATGGGCCAAGACTTTAGTGGTATGGTCCCTACAACCCACTGCAGTCAGCTTCCTGGATTTTGGGTAGGGCAGTTTTCATTACCCTGTTTTTGAGAGGCGTTGTTACTAGATTGGGATTTTTCTAGGAGTTTTTTTTTTGCCAGGGGGAAGTTCCTGGAATTTGGGACCATTATTTCTTTTATTCCCTCCCCCAAGGCAGAAAAATTGGAGAGGGAAAGAGAGAAAGCCAGCCCTAGACTTACCATGCTAACATTGTCCCTGCTGGAGGTTTCTCCTAGCTGCCAATGTGGCACCAGAGCCCACCCCCCAGCCATAAAATGGTGGGAAGTCTGGTGGAATCTTGACTTTCACAAGACTTGGCTGTCACAGTGGTTGTTTCCCCTGCTTCCACTGGGGATGGGGCTTTATAATTTTTTAAACTGGCAATTCAGTAGCATTATATTGATAGTAAAATGATATGTGTACCATGTTCTTTAAATCCCCAGCTTTCATTTTTTTAAAAAAGTAGGTTTCTAGTGCCTTTTGTTGCAGAAACATAAAGGAAAAGGCATGTCTCTGCAGTGGAAAATACTAGAGACTTTTTAAAAAAGCGGGGATTTCAGAGAACATGGTTCAGTATTTCTATGCTGTTATATTGATACAAGGGGGGGACCCGCGATACTCGCGGGGGGGAGGCAGAGGAGGCAT